ATGAAATTTATTCAACTGATTTACCATTATATTTTAATGGAAGTTCTTTAGAAGGGAAATTGAATAATGTAATGCAATTAGGAGTTTCACATTCAACAAAACAAGTTTCATTTTATACTCTTATAATGCCAATATATTTAGCGTCTATTTCTGAAGGAGTGCCAACACAACCACGAGTATGTGCAGAGATTTATCATAAATTCCCATGTGACTCTACTTTAGTTCTTGTTTTTAATCATATTCAACCAGGAGAAAGTAAGAATGTATTAGTTGATTGTGGGTTTAAAGTAGTAGCAGAAAAAGTAGAAGGAACGGTTGCTAAACTAATAATGATTATCAAATTAATAAAAGACATAATTATTATGGCTGATATTGATATTGATGCAATAAAGAAAACAATTACATTCCATATGAAATCATCAGATTTCTCTCAATTAAAGTTAATGGAACAATCATTAACTCCTTTATTCTAATTAACTTTTTTTTCTTATAAAAATGAATAATGTGTAATTAAATATCTCATTCATTTACCAACTTTCATTACTTGAAGAACATCTTCATCATCTAAACGATGGTCTTTACCAACTCTTTGAGGACTATGTTTAACAGAAGTTCCCCAAACTAATGCATATTTCATTTGAGTAGCAAGTTGTTTATGAATTTTAAAACTAACATTTTCCACAGTAGCTTTACGTGCTGGAAGAACAATAGGAGTCTTAAAATCAGGAAAAGCACCAGGAACTTTTGTATAAACTCTAACTAGATTTAATTGTTCCCAAATCATTTCTTTTAATTTATCTAAACCAATTCCTTGAGCTGCAGAAATACAACAAAAATAAGGTAGTGTTTGAAGTTTTTCTACTTCGGATGGTTCCATTGCATCAATTTTATTAATTACATAGATACAAGGAATATATTTACAATTATCTTCTATTACATCAATTAAATCTTGGACTGAAGAATCTGTGTCACAATAAACATCTGCATTTAATATTTTATATTCTTTTAATACTAATCTAACAATTTCTTGTGTTAATTCACTTTGTTTTGCTGTAGGTGTAAAACATACTCCTCCTGCAAGTTTTTTAACAATACGAATTCTTGGTGGTTCTTTATTTAATCGAATTCCAACACCTTCTAATTCATATTCAATTTTGTCTTTTAATTCTAACGACTTCGTTCCATCTATCATTAAAAGAATACAATCAGAAGTTCTAGCAACTGAAATGACTTGTCTTCCTCTTCCTTTTCCATCTTTAGCTCCTTCAATAATTCCTGGAAGATCCAATAATTGAACTTGTGACCCTTTTAAATCCATTACTCCTGGAACACATGTTAATGTAGTAAATTCATATGCTGCTATCTTTGATTCTGTAGGTGTCATTGCTGTAAGTAATGTAGATTTTCCAACTGATGGAAATCCAACCATTCCTACTCTTGCATCTCCAAACTTTGCTACATCAAACCCTTCTCCTGCAACTTTTTTTTCTGGTGCAAGTAATTCTCGTTGATATTTTGCCATTTTTGCTCTCATCATACAAATATGATGCATTGTAGCTTTATTAACTTGTGTTCTCGATAATTCAAATTTAATATCATCAATCTTTTGTTGCAATGACATGATTTATTCTCTACTTGTTTTTTTATATTATATAGTTCTTTTTATTAATTGTTTACTATTATTATTTTTTATTTTTTAATATTGTTATATATATCAATATTATGGTATTTAAAACTAATCAAAAAATCAATTTAGTAGTGATAAATTGATAACGTGATGAGATTAATTAATGTATCTTGTAAAGTTAAACCAATAAGTTTTATTAGACTTTATTTAAATGAAGACTAAAAGAAATTCAAAGAAACAAAAGTGAATTAAGAATTATGGTCTGTAGTTGTAATCAACATCATGAGAACAAGCAGTCATATCACCATTGTATTGTTTCATATAAGGAGAAGTCCATCCACCAAATGATTTGAAGTCAGAGAATGTTTTCTTACCATCATAGTGTGGATACCAAATTGGCCAACTTCCAGCTCTGCTGAATTTGTAGTCTAAACCTACAATGTCTTCCCAGTTATAATAAGAAGCATAAATTCCAGATTTAATACCAATAGCAGCAGCTTCATTAGTAAGACTTTCAAAGAATTTTCTATTACTAGATTTAGAAGAAGACCAAGTTCCTTCAATATCAAACCATAATCTTTCGAACTTAAGTTTTTTAGAAGTGACTTGATTCCAGAATGATTTTACTTGTCCTGCAGGATCTCCACATGAAAAACATGGATAGAAATAAGCATCAATGTGTTTTGCACTAAATCCAGCAGCAAGAGCATTTTCATTGATTGATTTAGCATTTGGGTCAAATGATCCAAGACTTCTCCAAGCTCTAAAGATAAAGAATGAATTAAATCCAAGATCTCTTAAACACTTAATTGATGATGTTGAAATAGATTCAGCAATATCAACACCATAAGAAGCTGCATGTGCAGTAAGTACAATTGCGGCAAGGATAAATAACATTAATTTTAATAAGAACTTTTTTAGAGTATTTAAAGGAACCAAAAAAATTATTAAAAATAATATTTCATAGTTATTTATTCTATTTATTATTCTTTAATTATATAAATAAAAATAATATTGGAAAATTTAATTTATTTCAATTTTTCTTAGAAATCTTAGAATAATTTGGAAGATTTAATTTATTTTATTTAAATCCTTAATTAAATGAATTTTCTCTAAGTTTTCATAAAGATTATTCATCTGAACTATAAATTATTTTTTTTTTAATTTTTAATTTGGATTGTATTATTAAAACGAAATAGTATATTTTTTTTTGATTTAACAATTAGTTTTATTCGATATTTTCTTTTTTTTAGTTTAAAATATTATTCATTTTATTTTTATGTTATTCTCACTTTATTCTATTATCTTTGGTAGTTTTTCCATTTTTCATATCAAGAAATAAAAGATAAATATTGGGTATTCAATAGTTTTGTATAACAGTGTTATTACTACTGGTTTATCCTTTCTCTTTATCAAAAAGTTATTTTGCTTCAATAACGTAGAAAATAGAGAAAAATAGTAATATCAGGACGTCACACCATTTTTGTTGTGAATGTTATCAATGATAGAAAATTTGTATGATTTCTATTCTTTAGTAAATCGCATGTTGCAGATTTAGATTTTAAAACTTAAAAATAAAAACTTAAATCATTATTTTAATAAATAGGATAAAAATGGATAAACTGTGGTATAAAAGGGTTTAATAACAAGTGATGGAAAAATTAGAAGATTTTAAGTTCGTCAAAAGGAGAAAAAGAGCAAATAAAAAAACAAATTCAGGAATTTGACGGTGTTGGAAATAGAACTCAAATCAGAGAATTCTAAATATGGTGAAAAAAAAGATTGGATAAGTAAAATTAGACAAGAATAAATGATATTGAAGGGAATTGAAAGAAGAATTATTATTTTTGGAAAATATAGAACTATTTAACAGATAGATTTGCGATTATTCATTCCATCCTGTTAAGTAATGAGTTTATCAGTTTTTACTCCAGTCCCTATAGAAAGTTTTGTTATTACCCCAAAAATGGCTAGTCAATCTGAAGAAGATTTGAATGAAAAAATAAGTTATTCTCGTTTTGTTTCATATCAATGGAATGATGAAATTACTATTTTTGTGATGTTAAAATATAAAAAATGGCAGTTATCACAAAGAAAATATAAGACATTGAATGAATTTTTAAAAGAATGTTCTGAATGTCTTACCACAAATTTTCATTTTAAAAAATCACCAACACAAATAAGAGATAAAATTAATAATACCAAATCATCATATGCTAATATTATTAAAAAATCATCTGCTCAATTCTCTAAAGAAAAAAATTTACCATTAACAAAAAAATTATTTGATTTTATGAATATTTATTTTAATGGTAAATATGTCATTTCAATTGACACATTAGAAGAACAAATTTCTTTATTAATGAGAAAATTTATGAGTCATGTTAATACTTCTTCTCAACTAAAAAATGCTATTTTAAAAATGAAAACTTATCATTAAAACAAATAAGTTTTTTTATGTATCTGTCTCATCACATTGTACATTACTTATTATTTAATTGAATATCTTTTTTT